GCTCTAAATAATTCCAGGAACTCAAAGCAACTGTATTTTTCTTACTCTTGGGATCCTTCTGTTATAAAACTACTCGATTGAACTGTCATACCAACCCACCAATAACATTTATGATATTTTGTCAGAATTTATTTGTCTATGCTTATAGGCTGTGAGTACATGATGTCTTATTCATATTTATGCCTCTAACAACTAGCTTAAGGCTTGGCACAGAGGAGGAGCTCAGTAGACACCTTTAGGATGAAATACCAAATGAGAATCCTTTAGGGGATATGCAGTTCCTGGCTCTCAGGATAGAACTCTGAATCAATTATTTAACATTTTGCTTATACCAGTCTTATAATGCTTTCTTCAATCTGCCTAATGTCTGAGTTGTCTATAACTCTCTCCCCATTTTCTTTTCTCCTTTGGGCCTAGACAGTACTGTATCCACCTCCATATCCCTAAAGAGTCTCACACTCAGGAAGTCAATAAACAGTATTTAAATCAAATGATTCCCCAGGAATGTAGCATAATAGTCAGGTTTTTTAGTACTAATGGTATATCATTGATTGAAAGGACTTTGGTAAATTGGTCTGAGGACCTGATCATGATTTAGAACACTGTTTTTATGGAGAAGCATTTGCAAATTTTAAAGTGAACTGTTATATGAGCCAACTGTAGGTTGAGTGTGGCTATACAATGCTACTTAGCCTATGAGATCTAATACCTGTGCAAAAAATAAAAATGTCAGTTAATCCTGATGATGTATCTAAACATTTGGCTCAATCACATCCTGCAGGCACTATTTAATCAGATTATCTTTTAAATTTGATGCAGATGGCATTTTTCAAATACAAAAAGGCAATAGTTATTTAGAAAGAACTTAAATATTATGTAAATTGTTTTGATAAAAATCACAAAAATGACTTTTGTGATTGTATTATAGTTATCTGCCCCTGAATAAAATAAATACATTGAAAAATATACTAGAAGGTAAATCTGTTAGGTCACTATATATTCAATTTCCATTATAATACTAGGATTACATTTTATCAGAGTAAAAAAATGGGGATAATACTTTTTTCTTTGAAAACATGAGTATCYATTTCTAAAAATATTTTAATATGTTCAAAAAATTCACAAAATCTTAAAAAAATCCTAGATATGAAAATAAGCYATCATTAGAAATTTACCATATAGATCATCTATAGCAGCCAGTCTCACTTTCCATGTGGTCACTGTAAGGATAATACTCTTTAATGTGTTATCATTCTGATGCAAATCTCACTCACATTTAAAAATTGGCCTCTAACTAATTACCTTATTTCAAATTCATGTTTAGAACTTAGCAATTTTCTCTTACTTCGGGAAAGTCCTTACTTTTTGCCTTTCCCCTGTAATAACAACCATGCCATTTGTTAGTGGGAAGATACAGCTCCAAATAAATTGAGGCACTGCAAGCATCTTTTCTTGTTCTGCTTGGGATGGTGGTTCTTAATACTTCCTAAGATCATACTGGTTCAAGTGGAGCCAGAACAACTGAGTTCCAGCTGGGCTTTACCATTTACTTCCTATGTGACTTYAGACAGTTAAGCAAAGTCTTTGAGTATTCGTTTTCATGTCTGTATAACGAAGAGTACTGTGGGTGTGAAAATATTAACCTTTGTAAAATGCTTAAAACAGCACTTGGCTCAAGTAAATGTTGGCTACCATCATTATTTTATATATGTAAGTATAATAATATAAATATTATGATTTATATGATAATATTCCAATTCACCTAAATCTAAAATTAGATATTTTAGCAAAATTTTTAGTATTGTTGTTGTTAATGATGTTTCCTAACAATTTCAAAATTCCATAGCCTGTAACAAATTTTTATGATCCTCTTCATGAATTTGTATTAATTAACCTTTTAAGTATGAAATTGTTTAATGTACTTCTGTATGCAAGAGATCTCTCAKTTTTTAATGATAACTGTGATTCTTCAGTTAGTGATTAAAGGTGCTTTTTTTTTTATTGGACTCTACATTATAAAAAAATCCTTGAGTACAGGACTTGTTCTGTACTTTTTGTATGTATTACTTTCTAGTTACGTACTCTTCTCCTTATACATATTTAATAAGTAGGAAATGAATAAATGAATGTGTTAGTGATATTAAATGAGATGGTAAAGACAGATATGATTCAACCTATGGCAACAGGCACTCTTTAAGATTACATAGGAGGGAGGGTTTGGCTTTCACTGGCCAAGAGGCCCCTGGTYTTCCACACTTGATATTCTGCCTCACAAACTGTATTCGCTGTAAAGAGCTGGGGGAAATATATATATWAAAAGAACAGGGAGGAAATAAGCAATAAAAAAGAATGGGCTATAGATCTAAACTATGAAGATACTTGTAGTATGTGACTACAAAATTTAAGACTGCTCTGCTCTATAAAGTTTATTTTATCACTTTGGGAGTAACAAGGCCATAAAGTCTTATCTTAAAAAAAAAAAAACACTCTGAACTTAAAAAAAAATCTCACATATAACACATTTGTACTTTCTGAAGTCCTCAAGAAAATAATGGGTATCATGCTTGTATGCAAACTCCACTTGGTGAATATAAGCAAATCTATAATAATATTACCTTATGAAATAAATAGAATATCTTAACCTTATTTATCTTAGAAGGCACCTGAAGTATTTTACATTAAGTGTAAGGATTTTCCTTAGGAATTAGTCTCTGAGAGATAACAAATTTCAAAGGAACTAATTTAAAAATGCATTAAGGGACTATCTTACAGGTTTCCTAGATTTTACCAGTAATTTTAACTACTTTGAATATATATATGTATATACACACACACACACACACACACACACACACACACACACACATATCATACTGGTCTCTCTAGAAAAGTCATTTCAGATTTTTCTAGAAAAATTCAAAAAAAATTTTTTTTTCAGTGCTGTAACCATATCCTGCCATTTTTTTCCCTAGCAGTCTCATTTTTATCACCTTCCTTAAAATTAAAAGGGCAGGCTGGTGGGCAGGCGGTGTTCATAGTCATCCCAGGGCATCAACAAGGAAGTTTTAAAAGCTAAGGAGAAAGCACTGGATAAAATAATAATTTCTACTGATCCCATATGAATATTCAGAAAACACTAGGCTTGAAAAAAACGAACTATGAGATTTCAAGAAAAGTGAATATGGAAACAGTTCCAACTGATACATGATTGATCCTCAAAAAAAAAAAAAAAAAAAACAAGAGAAAGGACGATATGAGTAGCAGAACACTCACGCCAGACAGTAGAGTGATTTCCTGGGGTCAGTGCCTATGAATTTGTGTATGAGGGATATTTGGGAACTGTAGGAAAGGTGAAGGTGAAAGGTGGAAGAAACCAAAGAGAACTGCCAAGTGATTCGTTCCTTTCTCCAAAAGTCTGACTAGTGCCAGAGAAGGTAGAAGAGCATATTAGATAGAATCCTAGTTGGTAAACAAGGGGTTTGAACCCAGTGCAACCCAATGAGGGAGGAGATTACAGGATTTGCTTTATGGGAGCATATTAACTATTTCAGGTGCTGAGGATACTTCTCAGAAAAACTATGTTACCATACAAGGAAGCACTTTTCTCATGTCCTATGTTAAAAACACTTCAAGCAGCAATTAAATGCACATACACATGCATGATGTGCCAAATTACTGAACTGTTTAAGTTCTGGTTAACTTTAGAACAAAAAATTCTAGTCTAGATGTCTGTAGTTTTAATTCATGTATTACAAGTTAAGCTTTGGGTAACTTTGCATTTATTAATACACACACACACACTCACACGTACCCACACATCCATCCACATACACAATCCCTAAAGAATTACTTAAAAAAAAAAACTTTATTATGATGTTACCCTCTTTTCAAAATCTTTCCTGAAAGTTATTCAACACAGAGAAGTAAGACTTTAGATCTTGGACAGAAATCTACTTTTTGCTTGCCCTATGAAATGTAATATCCTGATTGAYGTTATTGGTAAATAAACAAGAGATCTCTGTCCCACACAATACTAAACATTTTAAAACAATAACCCTAAAATGCTTACTTTTCCTTTGACCTGGGCTTAACAATATCAGATTCCCTACAAAATTCAAGACCCAAATCAATGAAAAAATAGAAATGTGAAATTCTATTTCAAATATTGACATTATTGCATAACTTGATTAGAAGGGATGTTGAACCTGCGTGAAGTGAACCCAGTGCACATCTGTGCATACTAAACTGTTCCAGTGTGATCTTGTATTTATTATTATTTATTGTAAAAACACTTGTGCACTCATAAATGTTGCATAAATGGCWTTTTGTGCATACTGCACACTGACAATTTTTATGAATGGATACACATAAATGCTCATAATTTGAGAAAATGGATGGCAGCATACTATTTGAGAAAAGTCATTAAATATTGGCAGCAAATGATGAGGCAAATGGAGGGTGTCTTTTGGTGCCATTCAGGGCAACTGTATTCTCAAGTCCCCTAGCAGAGTGTGTTGGAAACAGCCATGAAGCTTTCTCCTTAGAGACCTGCTCTCCCTCTCAGGATTCGTGCTACAGAGACCGCGACCGCTTGAGAAATAAAATGCATGCAGATCTCGGTACTGAGAACTGTTCATACACCAGAGACATCACACTCCCTAAATCCGGTCCCACAAGTGTGTGCATGTGAGTATGGCATTTACCAACAAATGAACAGAAGGCAACAAGAGCTCATCTCCTAGAAATAACATTTCTCATCCCTTCGCAGTCAGGCTGCTAGGAAGCTTTCCAGGGGCTAACACTTGCGTGCCTTCCCCACCGGGAAGGAGCCTTACATTAATAACCCTGTCAGGGCTAAGTCAGCTTTGTGTGTAAGTCCACTCGGCGCCATATGGCAGTTTCCAATTCCTTTAGCAACTCAAGTCTGGCTAGGTTGCAGCGATGATTCATTTTTAAAGGAAGACCCCCTCGGGAAGCAGCAATGCCCCCCCGCCACTTACCTAGCTCCCACAGACCCCTCTCAGCAGGCGGCAAGGGCTGGGGCGCCACAAAGGGCTGTGGGATTCCCCGCTCCCTCCGGGGCTCCTCTCCCTGCGACGGTCCCCTTCGCCAATGATCTGTCGCTGGAAATCCCCCTCCCCTCCACAGAGAGGAGGGTCTCCCCGGCTGGCTGGAGCTCCTGGCGGTTTTCCCCCTCTCTTTACATCCCTGACTCTGGCTCACAGTCTCTAGTAGCAAGGCTCAAAGGAGAGGCGGCGGGAGGAAAGCTAAGGCATCCTTAAAAAGAACAATAATCTTCATCGATCTTCACCCCCTTCCCCGCGTGGGGTCCCCATCCCCCTGCCGCCGCCCAGAGAAGAGAGGGCTGGAAAAGAGAAGGAAAAATCGAGCGGGGCTGATCTCGCCGCGCGGAAGGAGCCGGAAAGGCGAGTCGCGCCAGCCCGGGAGTTGCCGCTCGCTCCGGCTGCCCGAGGCACGGCGGGGGCGGCGGGTGGTGGGTGCTTGGTGGGTGTGTGTCTGTGCAGGAGCAGCGAGAGGCTGCGCGCGGGAGGCGAGGCGGGGCGCTCGGGGGCGCCGGTCCCCCGCCCCGCAGCTCGCCAGCCCGGCGCGCACACTCGCCCGCGGCCGCCCCAGCCTCCCGCTCAGCCTCCCGCTCCGCCTCCCGCGCTCCGCGCACCCGCGGGCTGGAGCGGCCGTCGCTTCCACCTCCGCTTTCTCTGCCACCCCCTCCTCCTCTTCGGCGTTCGCGGCTCTCAAGGTGGGCAGCGGGGCGGGGCGGCTAGGCTGTGCTGTCCGCTGGGCACCTTTGGAGACGCCGGGGTTCGCTCGGCCTCGCGGCGTTGGAGCCGTGCGCTCAGCCAGGGACAGCGCCCCCATGCCCAGGGCGCGGCCGGGGCGCTGGAGAGTGGGCGCCGCCCACACCTCGGCGGGCACCTCCCTTTGCTCCCGCTCACCCTCCGCGCTCTCGGACCCGGGGCCAGTCTTTACACCCACCTGCTTCGCTCTGCGGCTTTCAACCGGCCGCTCCTGGAGAGAGGGTCCGCAGCCCCGAGGCCGCCTGAAAGCTCGGTGGCCGGGAAAGCCCTGGGATGCCCCGCCGAGACGCGCTCCGGCAGCTTCGCGGGATTCCCTCGGCCCTTCTGCTTCCAATTACGGGGCTCTCCCGCCGCCCGACCCCTAAACGGCCATGACCCTGGGCATACTGCTTTACCCCGATCCCGGGGAACTGGGGCCAGGACACATGACTCCTGAATGATGGGACCAGGAGTATTTTCCCGGAAAAGGAGCTGCGGGAATAATGAGGAGTGCAGATAAGATCTGACTTTCCTCCTGGCACATCCAGCTCCACTTGGGGGCCATCACTAGCCCTGGGTAACCCCGCTTTTCTGGGTTTGAGGGTAAAGCCAGGTCGGTGGCAGCCTTAACTCTTGCTTCCCACGGGGGCGCTATTCATACCTTGCTTGCTTTCTCTAGCCATCGACTTACCAGCTGGAAAACTATGCCAAGTTCCTCCTAGTGAAGCTGCATGGTGAACACACAGACCCTTCCCCACCTTCAGGACACAGGAAAGACAATGAACCTGAACAATAATGACGGGGCCAAACAGGTTCCTAACCAAGGTTCCTGACAGGTGGAAATAAAGACAGCCTGCATAGTTGCAGGGCTTTCAGGAAAACAAAGTAGCTTAAAACACCCTTTCAAAAAGAATGCTGGCCATGATAATATATTTCAATCTGATACTTTCTGTAGATCAAGAAAGATGGCAGTTGAAGAAGTTTCAAACACATTTAGTTTTAAATATATCCCATTTAATCTTTGCTTTTGCTTTAGTTGTCATCTGTACTGGGATGTACTGTCCTCTTGGATTTCCTACACGTGGACTTCCTGCCTCCCCAAGAACCTACCTTGTGTTCAGTGATCTTTTTGAAGTATCAGATGTTGGGTTGTAGTATGGAAATTGACCTTTCTGATACTGTCACCCTTCAACAAGAACCTGCCTTGCCCTCTGCACTTCTCGGGGCGTGTGGAGCAGGAACACTAGGATGAGATCACCCAGATTTCCACACCTTAATACAGTCCTAGCCAGTTTCCAAGCTTCAGCTCTGCACTTCCAGGGAACTGCAGAAAGCCCATTCCTTCACCTCCAGTCTTTCCATCCTCTCATGCAGTTTACATCCTCTCCTGCAGATGATGGCCCCAAATACGACCCTGAAGATAATCATTTCCCTATTCACCAATGTTCCAGCTTTTCCATTCCCTATTGGCCTACTTCTATGCCATTGCATGCATGTATTTTTCTCTTTCTAGAATGTTTCTTTCCAGGTGCCAGCTCCAAATCATTGCAGCCCCTCCAAGGCCCACTTCACATTTTGCCTATTTTGTGACCCTTCCCCTTTGATATCTCCAGCACATTGTCTCAGCTCTCTTAAAAGGTATGGGCCACCTTCTGCTTCTTAGAGCATACATGAACTTCCTATGTATATATCCTACCATTTTAAGATGTAAGTTCCTTCAGGGCCAACTCAATACCTTTTGTTGTTTGCTTTCCTTACATCTTACCCAAGGCCACGCATGTGGATTCAGAGATAACCTATTCATCCAGTAAACATTTATTTTGCAGTTTTTGTCAAGCACTCAATATTTGTTAATGAACTGAATTTATAAAATAGTTTAAAACTAGAAAGATCTCTTAGGACTTATTTTGACTATGCCTAAATATAAATGGCATGATACCTTTCCTTAGGCATGGTGAAAATTCCCTTACTTTATTAGCCCTACATCAATAGTACTGATCACCTTGGTAGTAATTGAAATATTTGACAAGTATTGTCTAAAATTTTCTACCTTAAATTTCCATTAGATTTGAGAAAACTGAATCTGTGCCTACTATATGAGTGGTCATTAGTTAAAAGAGTAAATTATCTGTCAGGTAAAATAAAATGCTGCTGTATCCATTTCTGGAAGGCAAGGAGCTAGGAGTAAGTCATCCATCAATCCTGAGTCATGTCTGTGAGCATGCAATGATAAGAAAATAATCTCTGGGGGAAAAGTTTAATTTTGCTTACTAAGTTACTCATGGCCCAAATGAGTTCTAGAGAACAACCCATTGTACACAGATTGTTTGAAATAGCAGGGTTCTCCATATGCACAGCTTAAATTCCACGTGGTAGTAGAGACTTGTATTCATTATCATCATGCAGCTCCATCCATAGCCTTAGTATATATAATTTGGATTTTCTTCATTTATTCTCCAAAGGAAAATTTAAATGATGTAGCTGAAAGTGTGATATGTTTTCACATTGCTTCTTAACTCATCTTTTTTAACCTTTATTGATATTTATAGAAATGTTCCTTGTGCTTGTATTTCAATTTCCCAGATTTATTTTGCGATATGATGAAATCATATTAAAGGGGAGAAATTTCTGTTTAGTATGTCAAAATGTTTCCCTTATAAAACTTAGTAAGATAAATAACTCCAATACAAGTTTAACCTGAAATACCCTTAGGCATTTAAGTAGATAAATTTAAGCAAAATGTTTTCCCTCATACGTCAATATAAGGGTATATAGGAATATATATATATATATATATATATATATATATATACACACACACACACACACATACACACAATATAAAGTATAAACAATAGGTTCTTGGGGTTTTTTGTTGTTAAATGTAATATTTGAAAAAAACATTAAGTATAATCTAGTTATACTGGCTGCACTTTATCAAGTTTGAGTTTGCATGAGCAAGTTGATTTACAGAGAAAGTCAGTATAGATTAGAAAAAAATGGTAAAGGCAGAGGACAAACGTTTTTAAAAATGTTAAAAGCATAAAGATAATGATTTGCAAGTTTTGCAAAAGAGAATTTGATGTGATTTTTTAAAAAGTCAAATGGAAGGAAGCTTATAACATTGAGGAAAATCAAACAAAAACAAAAGTGAATTCAAAAGGAAGAGTAGTTAAAAATGATGTGAACCCTATTAAAGGGAAAATATACAAACATATATATAAATATGTGTGAGGGTGTGTACGTATACATTATGAAAGCATCTGTATTGACTAGCTAGAGTTAACTCTGAGTTGGGAAGTAGCTTTTGTTTTATTTGGTATAACCTGTTTATATCAAAAGATGGGTGAATATTAACCTTTCTCAAACATCAGCACAAGAGGATACATTTTGCATTCCTAATTATAAACCAATTTGTAAATAGATTGTGACTGTCTTCCCCCCCAACCCCAAATAAGGGCAGATACCACTCTGGTTTTTTATTGTGATGTAAGAAAGCAACCACTGAAGGATAACTAGAATTTGCCACATTCTTATATTTAATATGCCCTCTTTTTTCTCTTCTAAATAAAAATGTAGGAAAGCCTGGGCATTCTCAGCAATTCACAGAATCTTAGCAGCCACTGAAATCCTACACTCACACATTGCAGAGAAGGCTTGAAAAATAAATGAACCGTCTGTGTGTTCTTCATTGAAGAGATAAGTACTATCTCATTGATTCTTTTGGATTTAGTTGAGACAGATTTGGCTGTCCTTTGAAGATTTAAAGCTAGAGATAAGCTCCAGACTGACTGTATTTGTATTTTTTAAAACAGTTCTTGTTCTGGGTATGAACTTTTTGAAAAATGCCAGATGCTTGAACAAAGCATTTTTTTTTCTGCCATGTAATAGTGTGAATATAAGTACTGTGTTTGAATTTACCCTTAGACATACTTCCAGATGTCATTATTGTCTGAGCAGGCTGACTTGGTCTTAGAAATTGGGAAGTTTAGGGTGAGGAGTTTCTGGGGCCAGGGAAGCAGAAATTTTAAAAATATACCCCTTAGATTCTGAAATTTTTAATATGCTATTCTAGGGCATGGTGGAGCAAGGATTGGATTCCTGATCAAAACTGAGTCTTATCTCTGTTTTGCATTTGTGCTGTGTAGTATCCAGTAAGTTTTACCAAATCCTTAAGACATGTCGGACATTAGACTAAATTGTTACAAGTATTGGCTACTAATATCATAATTTAATCCTAATGATAGCGCTTTAAGTTAAACACTATTATTATTATTTAGTTAAAAATGGAGGTAACCAAACTCAAGGGAATTTAAATTACTAGTCCCAGATCATATGTTAAATGAAAGAATTAGAATTTGACCTAAAGCAGTGTGTCCCTAAACTTTTAAACTCTTCTGCCTACTTCATCGCACACTGGTAAAATCTTTCTGTATGTTTCACCAGATTATCTCAAGTTCATATGAAAATTTTGTATAAAATATTGTCTTTCATTT